TTCTTTCCCAGTTTGTTTGTTTACTTTTTCCAATAGCCAGTGGCGCTGTTCTGATCACAGTTCAGGCCGATTTTAACAGTAGGCAAAGACGTGAAGGCTACTGTACCACAGAAATGCCAGTAATATTGAGACCGTGGGGATGAAATAACGTCATTACCCGCGTTTGTTTATGCACTCTAAATTCTTCATCTGGTACTACATTAGAAAACGACGGTGAATTCTGTTTACGCACTTCCCAGTCAGCAAACCATGCAAGTATGAGGGGAAAGTTCAAGCCTGATGGGCGAGACATACTGTTGGTTCTGCAGACAATCGATGGACAATGGTCACGCCACAGAAAACTGTCAGTATAGCAAGCCACTAAGAAATGTCTCGTGTGTACAGTGCAAGCAGTGGATTTTGAGAGAAAACATGCAACACAGAAAAAACCGGCTGGGCATGCATCCCAGCAAGCGGATTTTGGTACCAAATTCCAGTACAGTTTTACTGACACCAAAAGTCAAAAACCCCTCCGTATTCCGCCCTCAGAGAGAGGCGGAAGCACTGGGGAAGTAACCTGAATGATCACAAGTGCCAACAGCAACCACTCACTGGCAAGGTTGTCGGAGGCTCCCTCTTCTGAGAATTACTTATAAGCAAGCTGATGGCGGTTTACTAACATATGACTCGTAATCTACCGCCTGGAATTTAGCCTAAAATTGAGTCTGCTATGAAAGCCGTAGAAAAAAGGGCACTGAACAATTGCTTCGAGTCCACAGCTCCCGATGAGGTTGAAAATAATGACGGAATTCAAAATCTCAACTCTCTTGCTTCCCAGTATACAGCGATGTTTTGCCTACATGTGTTGTACTGTACATAAATGGACCGTACTGTATGATACTGCACAGAGAATTTTCTACAGGGTTCCGAACTGATGCATCGGTAGAAGCATTGAGTGCGGTGCCAAAGCGACAGTGGTGTAACCTGGTCTGTTTCAGGGCTTCACACCAGCAACCAAAGGCCAGGAAAGAAGTGGACGTCAGCGTTTGCTTAGGAAATGGGCGTTTGAGCTAACAACTTTTGGCGTTGCGGAACGCACACCGGCGGAAGTGGAGCAAAGACTGAGGTTACAAATAAGCACAGTTTTCACAGTTTGGTATTTTTGAATAGTCGTGTTTCATCGTTGTACATCGTATGCGATATGCCACAGTTTTTACGTGTTTTTTGCAGCTATGCGATGCACGAAACGTATACTGACGAAAGTTTGTCTGTGTATGTATGTGCGTGTGTGTGAGCGTCTGCATCGATTTTTCATCTCGAGGCCTACAAAAGCTACGAGGCTGAAACTTTGGGAATTTAATCTACATGCATGTATGAGCCCCTATCCCTGAAATGAGCGGTCTTACCCGCGTGATACCCACGTATGGGCCGTGAAAGCTTTTTGCTAACGCGGGAACCAGGAAAGCTAGAAAGCTGAGATTTAAGGGATGTTCCCCTTCCACGTAAGTCTTGAAAAGTTTCAAATAAGTTTTTGGGTACGCGCGGTACCCGCGTACGGGCCCGCCAAAGTTTTTTCTCGGGTAAGTTGCTAACTCAAGAACTTGGAAAGCTAGAAAACTGAAATTTTAAGGGAATATCCCCCGTCCACGTAGGTCCCAAAGATTTCATAGCCAACCTGGGTATGCGTGGTTCTCACGTATGGGCCCGTCAAAGTTTATTACGGGCAAGCTGCTAACTCGGGAACCTGAAATGCTGGAAAACTGAAATTTTAAGGAGACGTTCGTCGTCTACGCATATATTAATGAGCTCAAACATAGCCCGCGATTATGCGTGGTTCCTACGTAGGGGCCCCTGAAAGTTTTCGAGTAAGTTGCTAACTCGGTAACCTAAGAATCTAGAAGATTGGGATTTTAAAGAAATGTTCCCCATCCCAATGAGTATTAATGATCCCAAACCCAGGCACCAGGCGTGCGTGGTACCCAAGTACGGGCCTGCCAAGATTTTTTCCAGGTAAGTTGCTAACTCGGGGAACTGAAAGGTTAAAAAGCTGAAATTTCAAGGGGGTGTTTCCTGACAGTTCTGGCGGCCAGTCTTAATTTGTTTAGTTAGAAGCATTTGCCGCCGGTGCCAGTAGCGACAAAATCTGCAGGGAACTAGGCAAGAAACTCATCTTTGCTCCAGCAGTCGGTGCGCTGGCCATTTATTCATTTTCGTCAAGTGTCCATCAAGCCTCCACGTAAGGACACATGCAGTTTGATGTAGCTTCGCAACCCAGGCTAGCAGA